GGTTGGAGGATATTGAGAGTGAGGAAGGGGTATTTTTTGAAGGTTGAGTAGCAGTGGTTAAAGAAGAGTCAGAGGTCGAAATTAGATTTAGAGAGGCCAGCTGATAAAGGGACAAGCCTCAGTGCCCCTAATAAGGATAGAAAATCTTCACTACTGTCCATAGTAAGGTAAGATAAGGAAGAGGAAAGTAGAAGAAAAAACGGTGCAAAATTATTCGAGTCGAAGACTGAGGCCTCCTATGCCCCCCCCCCCCCTGACGACAATGGGCAAGGGGGAAATAGTCACGAATCACGAGCGAGAATTGTATCTGAATTGTTTCGCGACTTGCTGAACGATTGCACAGTGCTGTACATCCGGACGAAGCTGCACTTAACCGTCTACAAACTGGGAATGGAACTGAACACCTAGATCAATTGGAGGTCCGAACAAGGTGATGTAATAGTCTACGAAGGCTCTTAGGACATGGTCGGTCTTCTTATCTCGAAGTGGAACCATCTGCAGGAAGCAAGTGTGATAGTCGACTATGGAGAGCACGTAACGATACTCTCTCTCTGAGCCCTGTAGATCTATCAACTCAACTGGGGCTCTTAAAAGGGGCTTCAGATGGTAGATGTCCTTCCATTGGATCATATGTTACAGAACCCTTCCACTACTGGCAAACATGGCAGCTAGTCACATACTCACGCAAAAGGCAGAACATGCCCAGAAAGTACCAAGTGTTGCACAAATTCTGGTATGTGTGAGCATGTTGCAGAGCTTGACTCTGAAAATGCTAGGGCACATGCTTTACAACCCTGAAAAGGGGTGAAAATAATACAGGACCCCATTCTCCACTTCAAAACTGGACACAGCAAGCTCATGGGCAAACCGACTAAACCTGGCGTTCTTCGTGCACCTTTAGAACACATGAGTGAGGGGCTGATGGTCAAATATTGAAATGGTAGCCATAAAAGTAAGGGTCGGCCTCCACATCTGCCACCGCCTCCATTGCCTCCAAATCTGTCACGGCGTGCAGTGTTTCTGCCTCCTTCAGCACCCGCGACCAATATGTAATGACACGAGGTACCTCATAAGAGCAGTACCCAAGGCCTCGATGCTGGCATCTGTATGCATTTCATTGGGTCTACTGAAGTCTGGGAGATGGAACACGGGCTTTCACAGAGCTTTCGTCTAGGCGGTTTGCTCTACATTACCCCAGCTTCGTTAGGGGCCTTGCGGTGGAAGAAAACCTTTCAATGTGGTATCTGAAGAAACCAAAGGCGACCAGGAACGGGTGTGCCTTCCGCACTGACTGAGGCAGTTATGGCAGCTATTTTTTCAGGATTGGGCCGGACATCATCCTTCCCAATAACAAACCCAAGGAGCTTCACTTGGTTCTGGGCAAAAACACATTTTTTCACATTTAATTTCATCCATGCACCTTCAAGCAGGCCCAATGTCTTACACAAATGTCGCAGATGTTCTATGAATGAGGACGAGGCGATGACCATATCATCGAGGTAAGCCAGTGTGTGGCGTCCCAACACTGGCGCTAATACAAGTTCCATCGTCCTGTGAAACGTAATTGGTGCAGTGGAAAGGCCAAAGGGAAGGCGCTGGAAGAGAAAAAGATGGTTCCCATCAGTGAATGCAGTCTTTGGGCGATCCTCTTGGTGGATGGATACAGGCTAACATGCTGACCGGCTGTCTAAAACATGGTACCACATATGACCTGAGAATGAGTCAAGGATCTCATTAATGCGAGATAGGTACTTAAATAGGGTGCTCACTGCCGAACACAGACAAGATTTTCGGTGGTGTTGCAGTTACAGTCAGATTATCTCCTGAGAAGGGGTCTGGTAAGCTAGTCAGTACCTTAATTAACTGCAGTACCTGGTCCGGTGTAAGGTGGTCAAGCTGTAGCTGGTCTGTCAACGATGAGTCGGATAACCCTGCAAGCTCAGCAGCGACAACATCAAGGGCATACCCAAAATCGAGGCAACCTTTCACCCTCTGGCGCCCACGATTCTATAGTTGTTTTCAGCCGACAGTGATCAACTGCTAGTGGGAAAACACCTGGGTTGGATGACACGGCTTTAAAATTTTGGCAAACACTGGGCAAGGCGCCCTCGGAAGGCAGGAAGTCCACTAACGACGC